CGCCACAAGTTTTCCACTTCGTTCTTGAGTGCGCAGCCTGAAACCACAAATTAGGGTTTAGGGTTTAGGGTTTAGGGTTTAGGGTTTGGGGTTTGTGGGGCTTCGGGCTTAGGGGTTGGGGGTTGGGCAAGTCGCGGGCTGCTGCAGGCAGGGCTTCGGCGCTGGGGCGGAGGCGCCAAACCCCAAATTAGGGTTTAGGGTTTTGCGTCGAGGGTTTAGGGTTTAGGGTTTAGGGTTTACCTGGAGGTCCGAGATCGTAAAGTCCTGCAGACCCTCCGTAAATTTCGAAAGAAGGAACCACAAAAAACTTTCTTTTTAAAAGCCTTTCGAATTGCTGCTTATATTTGATGAAGTGCGGCACTTCCTGCTGCTGCTGCTGCTGCTGCTGCAGCTGCTGCAGCTGCTGCTCCAGCTGCTGCACGCGATCCCGGGCAGCAACAGCAGCAGCAGCAGCAGCAGCAACTTCGGGGCCCCTCTCCTGCTGCTTCCGCAAAACCCGAGCCGCTTCATTAAGTCTTGCTGCTTCCGCTCGCTGCTGCTGCAGCTGCTGCTGCAGCTCTTCCAGCTGCTGCTGCAGCTGCTGCTGGTCCTGCTCCTGCAGCTCCGGCTGCTGCTCCTGCTGCTCCTGCTGCTGCTGCTGCTGCTGCTGCTGTTGGGGATCCGTAGTTGCTGCTGCAGTGTTTTCCCCCATTTTCGCGTCGTGGTTTTCCTTTTTGCTGCTGTTGCTGCTGCTGTTGCTGCTGCTGTTGCTGCTGCTGTTGCTGCTGCGGCTGCTGCAGAGGGCCTCACTTCTCGGCTGGATCGGGAATATTCTGCTGCTGCTGCTGCTGCAGCAGCAAATGGAAGCAGCAAATAAAGAAGACTTAAAACGGCGAGCAGAGGCGAGGCAGCAAAGGCGGAACTGGAGGGCGAGCATCCAACGGCGCAGGGTTTAGGGTTTAGGGTTTAGGGTTTAGGGTTTGGGGTTTAGGGTTTAGGGTTTAGGGTTTAGGGTTTGCAGTTCTTCAAATGCTCAAAACTATGCATGTTGCCAAAAGACGCCGAGACCCTCACAGCAAACGCATGCAGACAGTGGGGCGCCCCGCGGCGGGCTCCCAAACCCTAAACCCTAAACCCTAAACCCTAAACCCTAATCTTTGTCTGTAGCCGTAAACGCTGCACACTCGGTTCCAATAATATACAAAATGAAGCAAATCCATTTTCTTTATTATCCCGCGCTTTGTTTCAATACACCCTAAACCCTAAACCCTAAACCCTAAACCCTAAACCCTAAACCCTAGACACCCAACTCGACAGCTAGGCCTTCGCCTGCAGCCCTGTGCTGCGCATCCCTGAGTTTGTGTTGAATACCTCTGTTTTTATTTAAAACCCTAAACCCTAAACCCTAAACCCTAAACCCTAAACCCTAAACGGCGAAATATTTGGAATGTGTTGGGGTGTCTGTACACCTCATGAGTCTCGGGGGCCCACGAAGGCCGACAAACCCTAAACCCTAAGCCCTCAGCCCTAAACCCTAAACCCTAAACCCTAAACTCTAAACCCTAGAGTCCAAACCCCAAACCCTAGGATTTAAACCCTTTTGGCTGCTTTTCTTCATCTACGCAGCTCACTGCCTCCAAGTGTTCGCCAGGGCTTAGGGTTTAGGGTTTAGGGTTTAGGGTTTAGGGTTTGGAGTTTTCCGGGCCCCGGTTTTCTTAAGATGCCTCTTTCCGCCCCAGCGACTCCGAGACACCCCGAGGGCCCCCACTCATGGCGCAGCAGCAGCAGCAGCAGCAGCAGCAGCAGCAGCAGCAGCAGCAGCAGCAGCTGAGTCTGTTGGAGGCCAGGGTTTTGGATGAGCGCATGCGTTTGCTGCTGCATGCGGGGGGTTTTGACTTTACTGCTGCTGAGAAGCAGCAAATAGTCCGAGACACAAACAAGTGCTTCTTGTGGTCTTGCTGCTGCGGCGCTGCTGCTGCTGCTGCTGCGCGGCGAATCACCCCAGTCAAGGTACGGCTGCTGCTGCTGCTGCTGCTGCTGCTGCTGCTGGGCCCTCTGCTGAAGTGCGCCCCTGCTGCTGCTGCAGCAGCAGCATGTTCTTGCTTCCCTCCGTAGTACGTATCTGCTGCTGCTGCTGCAGAAAGCACGTGCTGCTGCTGCTGCTGCAGCAGCAGCATGCTCTTCCTTCCCTCTATGTAGTGTCCACCTGCAGCAGCAGCAGCAGCAGCAGCAGCAGCAGCAGCATGTAGTTGCTTCTCTCCATGTAGGGCCCACCTGCCGCTGCAGCAGCAGCCGCAGCAGCAGCTTGCTCTTCCTCCCCTCCACGTAGCGCCCACCCGCTGCTGCTGCTGCTGCTGCTGCTGCTGCTGCTGCTGCTGCTGCTGCTGCTGCTGCTGCTGCTGCTCTGCTGCTGCTGCTGCTGCTGCTGCTGCTGCTGCTGCTGCTGCTGCTGCTGCTGCTGCTGCTGCTGCTGCTGCTGCTCTGCTGCTGCTGCTGCTGCTGCTGCTGCTGCTGCTGCTGCTGCTGCTGCTGCTGCTGCTGCTGCTGCAGGCGACGCAGGTGTTGTGTTTCTTGGTGGGGTCTGTGGGGGGTTTGGCGCTGCTGTCGCCGCTGCAGCGGCAGCAGCAGTGGCAGCAGCTGCTGCAGGCCCCTGGCAGTGCAGCAGGAGAAGCAGCAAAGTTGCTGCTGCAGCAAATGCGAGCAGCAAAAATCCCGCTGCGGGAAACGCCCAACCCGGCCTTGCCTTCCTCCAACGGCTTTCCTGCTGCTGCTGCTCTGCAGCAGCAGCAGCAGCAGCTGCTGCTGCAGCAGCAGCTGCTGCTGCAGCAGCAGCAAGCAGCATACGGCGGCGACAGCGCAGTGTATGGGCAGCCGCAGTGGGGCGACTGGCGGGGAAACTACTTCCGTGAGTATTTGCTGCTGCTGCTGCTGCTGCTGCTGCTGCTACTGCTGCTGCTGCTGCTGCTACTGCTGCTGCTGCTACTGCTGCTGCTGCTGCTGCTGCAGTGGAAAGAGCTTGTTGAAAGCGCTAAGCGAGTTCGAGTTGCTGCTGCGTCTGCTGCTAAGGAACGTGCTGCTTCTGTTTTAGGTTTTGCTTTTCGTGCTGCTGCTGCTGCTGCTGCTGCTGCTGCTGCTGCTGCTGCTGCTGTGCATGCAGCTAGGCCCTATCGGTCTTGGAACGACATCCTCTTCGAGTCATTTCTACGGCCGGAGCAGCAGCAGCAACAGCAGCAGCAACTGCAGCAGCAGCAACTGCAGCAGCAGCAACTGCAGCAGCAGCGCCACTTCGATTTGCGGGGGCAGCAGGAGCAGCAATGGCAGTAGCAGCAGCAAACAGGCGGACCTTGCTGCTGCTGCTGCTCAGCAGCAAGGTCTTTCTTACAGTGTGTGTATACCCCAATTAGGGTTTAGGGTTTAGGGTTTAGGTGCCAACCAGCAAATTAGGGTTTGGCGGTCTGAGCTTTTCAAACCCTAAACCCTGAGGGTTTACACAGGAGCTGTTCACTGCTGCAACGGCAGCAGCAGCAGCAGCAGCAGCAGCTGCTGCTGCTGCTGCTGCGATGGCAGCGTTCTAGTGGGCCTGTGTCGCTATGCTGCTGCAGCGGCTGCTGCTGCAAATGCTGTTGCTGCAGCAGTTGCTGCTGCTGCTGCGGCAGCTGCTGTTTCTGCTGCAGCTGTGGGTGCTGTCGCCGCAGCAGTTGCTGCTTCTGCTGCTGCTGCTGCAGCTGCTGCAGCAGTAGCAGCTGCTGCTGCTGCAGCAAATGGGCAGCAGCTGCTGCTGCTGCTGCTCATTTGCTGAAGCAGAAAGCCAGCAGGGGCTCTAGCAGCTTGCGGGATAAACAAGAGTTTACCTGCGGCGGCAGAAAACCCCAAACCCTAAAATAGGGTTTTGCAAACCCCAATTGTGGCCTAAGTCCCGCACGCCAGCAACCTGAACCTGAGTGCTTTTCCAAACCCTAAACCCTAGTCTGCAAACCCTAAACCCTAATCACCTCTGGAAAGAAGCAGCCCAGCACCTGTCCTGCGTCGTCGCTTATATTCGTAAACCCTAATTTAGGGTTTGAGAGGACCCTCGGGGGCCCCTTCACTTCCGCTCCTGGCCTTATGTTGTCGCAGCAGCTCAAGAAGTCCCGCGCCGCTGCAGCACAAACCCTAAACCCTAAACCCTAAACCCTAGGCCTCAAACCCCAAACCCTAGCTCTTAAGCCCTAAACCCTAGGTGCTAGGCCCTAAAAATTAAACCCTAAACCCTAGATCTTAAACCCTAAACCCCAGATCTCAAGCCCTAAACCCTAGATCCTAAACCCTAAACCCTAGATGCTAAACCCTAGGTTTTAAATTTTATCCTATACCCAGCAAGCAGCACACAGCGTTTCTGGGGGCTGATAATCAAAACGGAAGAAGCGAGGGTTTAGGGTTTAGGGTTTAGGGTTTAGGGTTTAGGGTTTGTGGGCGCACTCTCGAATTTGTCTGCTGCGGCCTCCACAGCAAAGATCGCCAACTGCCTTCGAAGCCCTGCAGCAAAGAACCCTAAACCCTAAACCCTAAACCCTAAACCCTCGTCTGCAGAATTAACAGCGTTGGAGCCCTAAACCCCAGACCTCCGCTCCGCCGGCCCTAAACCCTAAACCCTAAACCCTCTAAACCCTAAACCCTATAAGCCATAAACCCTATAAGCCTCAAACCCTAAACCCTCGAAACCGTAGACCCTCTAAACCGAAAACCCTCTAAACCCTAAACCCTAAACCCTCTAAGTCCCAAACCCTAAACCCCCTAGGCCCCAAACCCTCGAAGACCCTAAACCCTAAACCCTAAACCCTAGACCCACGGCTGCAGTCCTCTGTCGCGGGGCTCACTGAAAGCAGCACGCAGATCTTGCTGCTGCTGCTGCTGCTGTTGCTGCTGCTGCTGCTGCTGCTGCTGCTGGATTCTCGTGTCTGCAGCAAAAGAAGCAAATTTGAAAAATCCAAAAAGTAAAAAAAGATAATAAAACTTTTTTTTCTTTTTTAAATTTAATTAAACTTTTAATTTCACGAAAACGAAAAAAATTAAAAAAGGAATTCCAAAAAAATAAAAAGATCTCAAAAGCCTGCCACTCAAATGCCGCATTTAAATTTAATTTAAATTTGATTTAAATTTAATTTAAATTTGATTTAAATTTAATTTAAATTTGATTTAAATTTAATTTAAATTACGTATGAATTAAATTCAAATTCAAATTAATATAATTTAAATGAAGTTTAAATTAAATTTAAATTAAATTTAAATCTATTTTAAATTGCATTTAAGTATGCCCATTAAATGCCATTTAAATAATACTTCAATAACATTTAAATGGCCTTTAAGTGTTATTTAAATGTTATTTAAATGGCCTTTAAATGGCATTTAAATGCTATTTAAATGGCATTTAAATGGCATTTAAATAACATTTAAGTGCTACTTAAATGGCATTTAAATGGCATTTAAATAACATTTAAATGGCATTTAAATGTCATTTAAATAAAATTTAAATGGCATTTAAATGGCATTCAAAAAACATTTAAATGGCATTTAAATGGCATTTAAATGGCATTTAAATAGCATTTAAATGGCATTTAAATGGCATTTAAATGCCATTTAAATGGCATTTAAACATTACTTAAATGCCATTTATTAATTTAGAAATAAAAAGAAAAAATAAAAGTGATTTGAATTAAATCATTAATGGCATTTTAGAAATTTAAATTCTGACAACTTCTCCAAATAAACTTTTTTTTCTTTTTTCTGTTTGCCACAAAAGTTCGACGCTGATTGTCAAAGAGGAAAACGCCACCTGAACAAGCCCCACAACGCATGCATGCTGCTGCTGCTGCTGCTGCTGCTGCTGCTGCTGCTGCTGCTGTTCCTGCTGCTGCTGCTGTGGTTGCGGTGGTAAGTGTTGCTGTTGCTGCTGCTCTACCGGCATCTGCTGCTGCTGCCGCTGATACTGCTGCTGCTCCCACTGCGGTTTCTACTGCTGCTGCTTTTGCTGCTGGTGCTCTTGCTGCTGCTGCTGCTGCTGCTGCTGCTGCTGCTGCTGCTGCTTAAGCAGAAGCGAGGGGCCCCAGAGGCCCCAAACTCACAGAGCACTTGGGGTAAGAAAAGGCCTTGTAGTCGCTTTTGAGCAAAGCCGGGACACCCTGAGCAGAAACAAGGGTTTAGGGTTTAGGGTTTAGGGTTTGAGGTTTAGGGTTTAGGGTTTGGGGTTTAGGGCTTGGCAGCAACAGCGCGAGCTGCGTGGGGCTGAGGCTGCGGCTGCGCACAGTGCAAAAGGGGGCCTGGGCTCGTGGGCCGAGGGTTTAGGGTTTAGCGTCTAGGGTTTAGGGTTTAGGGTTTAGGGTTTACGAGGGCCAGCTGCCTCTCGGGGTCAAACCTGAGGGCCTCAAACCCTCGTTTGACTTTCTGAACTTTCTCGGGGCCCCACTGCAAGGGTTTGGCCAGCCAGGCCAGCGCGTGAGAGTCTCTGCGCAAACCCTAAACCCTAAACCCTAAACCCTAAACCCTAAGCCCTAAACCCTAAACCCTAAATCCCAAGGCCCAGAGACTTGGAGGCTGTCGCTACAAAGGCTAGACTGCTGCCTGAGAGCTGCGCCTGGAGATGCAGGGGAAGCCCGCGGAAGGGTTTAGGGTTTAGGGTTTAGGGTTTAGGGTTTAGGGTTTAGGGTTTGAGACGCACACTTCGTTCCAGCGAATGCCGCGGAGTTCGGGGCTGCATGCGACGGTGTCTGCTCGCCACACACAAACAGCTAGCTAGCTAGCTAGGGTTTAGGGTTTAGGGTTTAGGGTTTAGGGTTTGGGGTTTAGGGTTTAGGGTTTGGCTTGCCTGTGATAATGGCTCCTATAAGGAGCGCCGCGAGGTCTTGAGGAAGGGGCGGCAAATTGTTTTGTGTCTGCAGCGCCTTTAGCTGCATCCCAACTCCAAACCCTAAACCCTAAACCCTAAACCCTAAACCCTAAACCCTAAACCCTAGGTCTGGTTGTGTGCAGCTGCTTTCCTGCTCAGCGAAGCCGCCAACTTTGCGCAGCGCCAACTCTAGGCATCGAGTTCAGGGTTTGGACTCAGACCCCAAACGAGGGTTTGGGGTTTAGGGTTTAGGGTTTAGGGTTTAGGGTTTAGGGTTTACGCAGAGGGCAATTAAAGAAGCGCAGGAGCCAACTTGAGGACCCGCTATTCGCTTTTTTGTGGTTTCCAAAATGTGCTTCTTGTCTTCGTGGTGGTCTATGCAGCTAATTACGTCTTCCAGCCACCTGCAAACCCTAAACCCTAAACCCTAAACCCTAAACCCTAAACCCTAAACCCTAAACCCTCGACCCTCGGTTGCAGCGTTGCCCTATACCCCACAGTGAAGCGGAAGAAACGCCTCAAGCAGCACCCGCATACGCATCTGGCAGCAGCAGCAGCAGCAGCAACAGCAGCAGCAGCAGCAGCAGCAACAGCAACACAACAGCAGCAACAGCAGCAGCAGCAACCTCACTGCTGCTTGTCCCCTTCCAAGTCATTGTGATCAACGAGACAGAACTTAATGCTGGTAAGTCCCTCTCCTAGCTGCTGCTGCTGCTGCAGCAGCTGCTGCTGCTGCTGCTGCAGCAGCTGCTGCTGCTGCTGCTGTTGCCGCTGCTGCTGTTGCTGCTGCAGCAACTGCATTCAAGCACCCGCAGCAGCCAATATCCCCTGCCGCTAAATCAGCGCAATACACAAGGCAGCCGTTTCTGCTGCTGCTACTGCTGTTGCTGCTGCTGCTGCTGCTGCTGCTGCTGCTGCTGCTGCTGCTGCTGCTGCTGCTGCTGCTCACCTGCTGCGACTTTTTGTCAGGCAAGAAGAGCAGCTGAGCTGTTGCAGCAGCGCCAAGGCAAGAAGAGACCCACCAGTCCACCTGGTGTACGTACACCCCAAACAAGCAGCAGCAGCAGCAGCAGCAGCAGCAGCAGTGCAGCACTGCAGCAGAACAGCAGCGGCTCAAACACGAGCAGCAGCAGCAGCAGCAGCAGCAGCAGCAGCAGCAGCAGCAGCAAACGCACCTGCAGCTTGTTCTCAAGGTCGCTCGGTTGACAGTCAACAAAGGGGAGAAAGGCTGGGAGTTCATTTTGCTGCTGCTGCTGCTGCTGCTGCTGCTGCTGCTGCTGCTGCTGCTTCTGCTGCAGTAGGCGGCAGGTCTCAAGACAGAAGGCGTATCCAATGGCAGACACAGTCGAATCCTTTGCCGCAGCGTAAACCCTAAACCCTAAACCCTAAACCCTAAACCCTAAACCCTAAACCCTAAACCCTAAAGCACTGCAGGGCTGAGAGGGTAGGGCTTCGGCGGAGCTCAAGCAAAGATGCGAAACTGCCAATGCTAGATTAGGGTTTAGGGTTTAGGGTTTAGGGTTTGGCACACAAGATCTGCGCTGCTGTTTCCCACTACAAAAGATAGATCCCCATCATTTTCGTTTGCTGCTGCTGCTGCTGCTGCTGCTGCTGCTGCTGCTGCTGCTGCATCAAGCCGGCGACTGCAGCAACTGAGAAAAGCAGCAGCAGAGGGGCACGCCCATGCTGCAGCGGTTCCGCTTCCTGTTGCTGTTGCTGCTGCGGTGTTTGCGTCTGCTGCTGCTGCTGCTGCTGCTGCTGCTGTTGCTGCTGCTTCGGCTTCTGCGATCGCGTCTTCTGCTGCTGCAGCTACGGGGCTGGTGGCTGCAGCTGGAGGTGTTGCTGCTGCTGCTGCTGCTGCTGCGTCATCAGAAGTCTGCTGCAGCAAGAGCTCTTCCTCTTCAGCTGAGGCACCTCACAGACAGCTCTCTGCTGCTGCTGCTGCTGCTGCTGCAGCATTGCTTCTGCTGCTGCTAATACGTATCAGTGTTGCTGCTGCAGCTGCTAGCATTTGTATTGCTGCCACATGCAAACCTCAATATTGCTGCTTCTTCTGAGCCTATTGCTTCGTTTGTTGCAGCAGCAGCAGCAGCAGCAGCAGCAGCGCCTGCTGCTGCTGCTGCTCTTAGTTCGCGTATCTGCGGCGGGGCTTACCAAGAAGAGTGTGGATCTTCTCAACTGCTGCTGACAGGGCCATGGTTGCTGCTGCTGCTGCTGCTGCTTCCGCAGCTGCTGCTGCTGCTAGTGCGGTTGCAGCTGCCTTCCTGCTGCTGATGCTGCTGCTGCTGCTGCCGCCGCTACACTTGGTGATGTTGCTGCTACCCTTGCTGCTACTGCTGTTGCTGCTGCTGCTGCAGTTGCCGTTGCTGTCGCCGCTGCTGCTGCTGCAGCCGCCGTCACTGCCGCTGCTGCTCTTGCTGCTGCTGCTGCTGCTGCTGCTCGAGAACCGCGGCTTGCTTAGACCTAGAGCTCAGACAAATGGATTTGTTTGTATTTTAACAACTTTAATGCCAATTTATTTCCAAAATAAATGAAAAGAAGGAAAGAGATTTGTGCCGTCGGCTCGCGCGGCTGTTGAACTGCGCGTGCGGTGTACATACACCTCAGCTCCGCCGCCGCGACTAACCCGCGGACTTTCGCGTTTTTGTTTATTTTTTGCATTAAATGAATTATTTTAATTAAATAAAACATTTATTTCACTTTAAATAAAGCAGCGCGGAGTTGCTGCAGCAGCAGCAGCCCCGGGGGCCCTCCGGGAGGCCCCTGCTGCAGCCTCGCGGGGGTTGGGTGCTGCTGCTGTCTTGCTGCTTCTTTGGAAATATATTTGAAGTAATAAATCTTTTTATTTTATTTTTTATTTTATTTTTTTCAATTCGAGCTCAAGAAGGGCAACAGGGAAACTCCAGACACCTAATTGCTGCTGCCTCCGCACACTCAGCAGCAGCAGCAGCAGCAGCAGCAGCAGCAGCAAAACGAGCACTAGAAATAAGCAGCCGCAGCAGCAGACTCGGAGCGACTGCGACAGCAGCAGCCACTGCAGCAGCGCCAGCACCTCCATTACTAAGGGCGCCACTACCGTCACTAGCAGCAGCAGCAGCAGCAGCAGCAGCAGCAGCAGCAGCAGCAGCAGCAGCAGCAGCAGCAGCAGCAAAGATGGAGGCGTTTCGCCGGCAGCTCGTGATTCGCCGCAAAGTGGTGGAGCGAATTTTTAAGGATTTAATTTGCTACAGAGAAGAAGTCCTGGAGCACCAGCAAGTGCTGCAGCAAATGCAGGTGCTGCTGCTGCTGCTGCTGCTGCTGCTGCTGCTGCTGTTCCTGTTTCTGCTGCTGCTGTTGCTGCTGCTGCTTGTCCTGCTGCTGCTTCTGCTGTTCCTGTTTCTGCTGCTGCCGTTTCTGCTGCTGCTGTTGCTGCTGCTGCTAGTCCTGCTGCTGCTGCTGCTGCTGCTACTGCCGCTCTTTGTGCTGCTGCCGACGCTCCCCCCGCCGCCGCGGCTGCTGCTGCCGCTGCGCCTCTGCTGCTGCTGCGCCTCTTGCTGCTGCTGCGCCCCTTGCTGCTGCTGCTGCTAGGTGAGAAAAGAGCTGCTGTTTGCTGCTGCTGCAGGCAGCAGGAAGGGAAGAAAGCGATATTCGACAGAGACAAAATGTCTTGAGAGAGACGCAGCTAATGCTGCCAAACTCTGAAGAAAGACTTGCTGCTGCATGCAAGGAATTGGGGCTGCTGCTGGCGGAGAACAGCGGGGCGTGCTGCGCTGCGCTGCAGCAGCTGCAGCAGCAGCAGCAGCAGCAGCAGCAGCAGCAGCAGCAGGCAGCAGCAGCGGGGGCGGATGCCTGGCTGCTGGAAGAACTCAAAACAATTAAAAGTCTCTTCGCAAAAATCAAAGCTGCAGCACCTAACATTGAGCTGCCGCTGCAGGCCCTCGAGCCCCCGCAGCAGCAGCAGCAGCAGCAGCAGCAGCAGCAGCAGCAGCAGCAGCAGCAGCAAGGCAGCGCGGAGGAAGAAGATATTTAGACAAGATAGATTCGTTTCGAAATTATTTTATTTGTCTCTTTTTTGCTGATTTCTCAGCTCAATTGTCCATTACTTTTATTTTAATTCTTTTATTTATTTTAATTCCTTTTATTTTATTATTTTATTATCTTTTTATTTTTTTATTTTTTTATTTATTTAAAAAGAATTAATTTTAAAAGAAATAAAAGTTTTAAAAGAATTGGAATAAATACAAAAAGAGACAAAAGTAGAAATTTAAAAAAAGACAAAAAGAGATGAAAGAAATAGAAAAGAAATTTAAAATGGAAATTAAAAAGAAATTGAAATAGATTTAAAACAGATTTAAAAACAAAATTAAAAATAGAATTAAATAGAATTAAAAATAGAATAAAAAATTAAAAAGTAAAAAAAGAATTAAAAAGGAATTCGAAATAATTAAGAGGAAATAAACAACAAAAAATAAAAAATGTATAAACAGGAAAAAGAAGAAAAGGCTTGGGACTACTTTTAAAAGATAAAAATAAATAAATAATTTAATTAATTAATTAATTAATTAATTAATAGATAAATAAATAAACAAATAAATAAATAAATAAATAAATCAATCAATCAATGAGTAAATAAATAAAAATATAGATAGATAATAAAATAGCAGTATTAAAATATAATAACAAATTGACAACAAATTAATTATAAATTGACTATTAATTACTAATAAATAAATAAATAAATAAATAAAACAAATTGATAAAATTGATAAAATAAAAAATAAATGAATATATAAATAAGTAAATAGAATAAAATAAATAAAATAGCTAAATTGAATAATAAACAAACAAAATAAACAATTACATGATTAAAATAAATAAATAAATAAATAAGTTAATTAAATAATCAAATTAAATACACCAAATAAATAAATTAATTAATTAATTAATTAATTAATTAACTAATTAATTAATTAATTAATTAAAATAAATAAAATAAAATAAATAAATAAATAAAATAAATAAAAGGAAAAAGTAAAAAAATGCCAAAGTGGCAGCAAATGGATTTGCATGCAGCTGCTGCAGCGAGGGCCCCAAATTGATTTGCGTTTAATTTTCAAATTAAATTAAATTAATTAAATAAAATAAAATAAATTAAATTAATTAAATTAAATTAATTAAATTAAATTAATTAAATTTAATTAATTAAATTTGATTAATTTTAATTAAATTTAATTAATTTTAATTAAAATAATTAGTTTTACTTGATGGATTTGAAAAACTAATTAGCAGCAAAACCAAAAGCTTCCATTTGCTGCGCTGCTGCTGCTCGCTGCATGCAGCAAAACGAGCTGCGTATTGAACAGCAGCAGCAGCAGCAACAGCAGCAACAGCAGCAGCAACAGCAGCAGCAACTGTAAACAGCAGCAGCAGCCGCAGCAGCAGCAGTAACAAACAACAGCAGCAGCAGCAGCAGCAGCAGCAGCAGCAGCAGATGCGGGGATCAGTTGTTAAATTTGAAAAGCCCAAGAGAACAAAAATAAAGAAAGAAAAGAATTAAATTAAAACAAAACAAACTGCACTTCGCGGTGTCAGTGCTGCTGCTGCTGCTGCTGCTGCTGCTGCTGCTGCTGCAGCGGCTGCGGCTGCGGCTGCTGAATAGCTGGCGCGTGTAGGGCGCTGCTGCTGCTGCTGCTGCTGCGTTAAAATTGTCTTTATTTGTCCAAATTTGTGCGAGTTGGCGATAAAAAAGGAATTGTTGGAGAAATAAAAGAAAAAAAAAGAAAATAATTGGCAAAAAGTGGAAAAAGAAGCAGCAGCAGCAGCAGGCCGGGGCGCTCAGGTGTATGTACAGCTGGCGCATGCAGACGCGCAGCAGCGAGCGAGCAGCAGCAGCACAGCAGCAAATAAATAAATATTAAAATTAATTCTTTTTTATTCTTTTCTTTTTATTTCCCAAACTGAAGACACACCTCCGCGGCTGTCTTGTCAGGCGCCTGCGTTCCCAGCCCTTGCTGCTGCTGCTGCTGCTGCTGCTGCGCCTGCTGCTGCTGCTGCTGCTTCTTCTGCTGCGCCTGCAGTGCCGCTGCAGCACCGCCGCCTCAGCAGCAGCAAAGCTGCCCCGCTGCGCCTCAGCAGCAGCCCCAGCAAGCGAAGGTACGCCCCCCAAAGCCCCCCACCAGCACCGCAGCAGCAGCAGCAGCAGCACCCGCAGCAGCAGCAGCAGCAGCACCCGCAGCAGCAGCAGCAGCAGCAGCAGCAGCACCCGCAGCAGCAGCAGCAGCAGCAGCAGCAGGAGCAGCCTCCCGCTGCAGCAGCCCTGCCCGTGTGTCTGTGGCTGCGTGTTGCGCGCTGCAGCCGCCCAAGCGCCTCCCCCCCTACCCCCCGCAGCAGCAGCAGCAGCAGCAGCAGCAGCGCAGCAGCAGCAGCAGCAGCAGCAGCAGCAGCAGCGGGAAAATGCGGCTGCGGGTGCGGACGCTGGGGGCGGAGGAGTGCGAAGTCTGCGCGGAGCCGGAGGAAACAGTAAAGGACTTGAAAGAAAAAATAGAAAAAGTTTTTCCGAGAATGGCAGCAGCAAAGCAGCGGCTGGTGCATGCAGGCAAAGTCCTCGAAGACAAACTCCAACTCAAACAATACCCTCAACTCCGCGACAACGAACGCCTCGTCGTTCTCGTCGCCAAGGCAAACCCTAAACCCTAAACCCTAAACCCTAAACCCTAAACCCTCGTTTTTCTCAGACCCCGAAAAAACGAGGCGCGTGCGGTCCTTGGAGCCGGAGTTAACCCTAAACCCTAAACCCTAAACCCTAAACCCTAATTTACCCCCAACTCCGCGACAACGAACGCCTCGTCGTCCTCGTCGCCAAGGCAAACCCTAAACCCTAAACCCTAAACCCTAAACCCTAATTTCCCGCGGAGCCCGAAAAAACGAGGGGCGTGCGGTGCTTGGAGCCGGAGTTAACCCTAAACCCTAAACCCTAAACCCTAATTTACCCCCAACTCAAAGGCAACGAACGCCTCGTCGTGCTCGCCAAAGGAAACCCTAAACCCTAAACCCTAAACCCTAATTTGCGCGAGAGGCCGGAAAAACGAGGGGCTCACGGTTCTTGGAGCCAAAATAAACCCTAAACCCTAAACCCTGATTTAGCGTTTAAGCTGACTCCAAACCCTTGTGGACGGCGCTGAGACAGTTTCCGCTGCAGCTGTGGGAGAAATGCAGAGTACACGTTTAGGGTTTAGGGTTTAGGGTTTAGGGTTTGGGGTTTAGGGTTTAGGGTTTAGTGTTTTGGTGAGTTTGTTGTTCAGCAAGTGGCTTCCTCGAACGGCTCTGCAGCAGCAGCAGGAGCAGCAGCAGCAAATTCGTCGGGAGCAGCAGCAGCAGCAGCTCCTGCTGCTGCTGCTGGCGCTGCGAAGCCGCCAGCAGCAGCTGCTGCAGCAGCCCCTGCTGCAGCAGCCCCTGCTGCAGCAGCCCCCGCTGCAGCAGAGCCGCAGCAGCAGCAGCAGCAGCAGCAGCAGCAGCAGCAGCAGCAGCAGAGGTCAGACGTATTGAGCGAATCTGCTGCTGCTCTGGCGACAGGGGCAGAAGTTGAAGAAGTGAGTTTTTGTTTTTTAATTTTAAAAATTAAAATTAAATTAAATTAAATTAAAATTAAATTAAATTAAATTAAAATTAAATTAAATTAAAATTAATAAATTAAAATTAATAAAAATGAAAAGCAGCAGCACTTGTGGGGCTCCACAAGCAGTCAGCTTCGGCGCGCCTCGCTGCTGCTGCTGCTGCTGCTCCGTTGCTGCTGCTGCTGCTGGTCCGTTGCTGCTGCTGCTTCGTTGCTGCTGCTGCTCCGTTGCTGCTGCTGCTCCGTTGCTGCTGCTGCCCCGTTGCTGCTGCTGCTGCTACCACTGCTGCGACTGGCACACTACTGCTACTGCGACTACTACCACTACCACTGGCTGCTGCTGCTGCTGCTGCTGCTGCTGCTGCTGCTGCTGCTGCTGCTGCTGCTGCTGCTGCTGCTGCAGACTCTGAAGAATCTGGAGGAGTTGGGGTTTTCAGCAGCAGATTGTCGCGTGGCTCTTCGCGCAGCTTTTAACAATCCGGACAGAGCAGTGGAGTATTTGATGAATGTGAGAATTATTTGAATCTTTTTTGCTTCTTTTCCAAACCCTTTTTTAGGGTTTAGGGTTTAGGGTTTAGGGTTTGGGGGCCTTTGAAGCTCCTTTTTGTCGTTTGTTTTGTTTTTCTTTTTGACTTTTTGCTGATTTATTTTGAATTGCTTTTATTCACTTGGAACTTTTTATTATTTATTTATTTTTGTTTTTATTTATTTTATTTATTTATTTGTTTTTATTTATTTATTTATTTTTATTTTTATTTTTATTTGTTTTGATTTTTATTTTTATTTTATTTTTTTGGCCTTCGCGCTTTTCCGCTTTTCTCCATTATTGCAGTTTTGCCTTTTTTGTTTTTTATTTTTTATTTTTCTTTATTTCTTTATTTCTTTTTTATTTATTTTTTATATCTTTTCATTTATTTTTTAATTCTTCTTTGTTTCTTTTTTAATTCTTTATTTCTTTTTTATTTCTTTTTTATTTCTCTCTCAATTCTTTTGTACTATTTATTTATTTTTTTATTTTTTATTTTTTATTTATTTTTTATATCTTTTTTTATTTTTTATTTCTGTGGTCTTGCGCATGTCTGTATCTCCTGAGGCTCCTCCAAACCCTAAACCCTAAACCCTAAACCCTAGCGGTCTGCTCTTCTTTGTTTACTAACCCTAAACCCTAAACCCTAGCGGTCTGCTATTCTTTGTTTACTAACCCTAAACCCTAGCGGTCTGTTCTTCTTTGTTTACTAACCCTAAACCCTAAACCCTAGCGGTCTGTTCTTCTTTGTTTACTAACCCTAAACCCTAAACCCTAAACCCTAGCGGTCTGTTTGTGTTCATTTACTCAGGGCATTCCTGAAGACCTTTTGCCGTCCGTAGCAGCAGAAGGGACAGCAGCAGCAGCAGCAGCAGCAGCAGCAGCAGAAGCAGGACAGGCAGCTGCAGCAGGAGAGCCAGCAGCAGCAGCAGCAGCAGCAGCAGATGACAACCCCCTCGCGGGCCTCCGCACCCATCCTGTCTTTCAGCAAGTTCGGCAGCTCACGCAGGTCAGCTGCTGCTGCTGCTGCTGCTGCTGCTGCTGCTGCTGCTGCTGTTAGTCCGGTTGCTGTCTTGCTGCTGCTGGCTGTACGCTGCTTCACATGCTGCTGGGGGTGGCGTTGCTGCTGCAGCGACGTTCGAATTTGCTGCTGCTGCTGCTGCTGCTGCTGCTTTTGGAGCTGTTAGCTCTGGTTGTTCAGCAGCAGCAGCAGAAACAGCAGCAGCAGCAGCAGCAGCAGCAGCAAAGCTGATTTGCTTCCCGCTGGATTTGTGCTGCAGACAAACCCTCAAATGCTTCCGCAGGTGCTGCAGATGATCGGCGCCTCAAACCCTGACCTCCTGCAGGTGCTCGAGGGTTTAGGGTTTAGGGTTTAGGGTTTAGGGTTTAGGGTCTGGAGCATTGGGCTAGTTTGTGGCATTGTGTACGGGCACGCGACTAGGGTTTGGGACCAGGGGCTTCGTCCTGAAGGGTTTAGGGTTTAGGGTTTAGGGTTTAGGGTTTAGGGTTTGAGTGTTTGCAGCTCATAACTCAAAACCAAGAAGCTTTTCTTGAGCTGCTGCGGGAGGGGGCCCCCCCTGCTGCTGAGGGCCCCGGGGGGCCCCCGGGGGGCCCCCCCTCATCTTTGCTGCAGGGGGGTGTTGTGCAGCTAACTGAAGAAGAAATGGCTGCTGTAGAACGAGTAAACCCTAAACCCTAAACCCTAAACCCTAAACCCTAGGCCCCGGGGGGACTCCTGGGGGCGGAGCTGCAGGGGGAGAGCGGCGGGGAGAAGCCCTGGCGCTGCAGCGGGAATTTAGGGTTTAGGGTTTAGGGTTTAGGGTTTAGGGTTTAGGGTTTAGGGTTTGGGGGTTTGCTGCAGCTCACTGCCCTCGGTTTCACGCGCATGCAAGTTGCTGAAGCCTACATTGCATGCGACCGCAACGAGGTGAAGCTGCTGTTGCTGCTGCTGCTGCTGCTGCTTCTGCTGCTGCTGCTGCTGTTGCTGCTGATTCTGCTGCTGTTGCTGCCTGTGCTGCTGCTGGTGCTCCTGTTGTTGCTGCTGCTGCTATTTTTGCTGCTGCTGCTGCATCTTTGGGGTGCACATGCACGCGACGGCTGCAGCAGCAGCCGCTGCTGCAGCAGCCGGCAGAAAGAACTGCTGCTGCTGCTGCTGCTGCTGCTGCTGCTGCAGCACTTACTTCGTCTATTCTTTTGCTGCTGCTGCTGCTGTTTGTCCAGGAAATGGCAGCAAATTACCTTTTCGAAAACATGAATGACTTCATTGACGAAGAGGCCCCCGAAGACCCCCCCGCCTCTTGAGGTGTACGTACACCCCAGCTGCTTGCTTCGGGTGTACGTACACCCCAACTGCGCCGCCTAGCTCTTCAACAGAGAACCCCCGAGCTAGCTAGCTGCCCAGCTAGCTAGCCAGCTAGTTGACCAGCTAGCTAGCCGCCCCCACGCTAGCTAGCCGCCTAGCTAGCCACCCAGCTAGCCACCTAGCTAGTCACCTAGCTAGCCACCCAGCTAGCCACTCAGCTAGCCACCTAGCTAGCTAGCTAGCTAGCCACCTAGCTAGCTAGCTAGCTAGTTAGCTGGCTAGCCACCGAGCGAGCTTGCTGGCGGGCTTGCTCGCCACCCAACTAGCTAGCTGGCCAGCTTGCTGTTAAGCTAGCCAGCTAGCTAGCTAGCTGGCTAGCTAGCTAGCCAGATAAGCTGGGTAGCAGCCTCTCAGCAGCGGGGGGTCGTGGGGGCCCCCAGTTGGTTGCTGTGTGCACTTGGGGGCCCCCTGGGGCCCCATTGGGGGCCCCTGGGGGCCCCTAAGGGCCCCTGGGGCCCCCAGGGGCCCCCAAGCAACAAGACTACGTTTGCTGCCGAAGCTGCTTCATTTGTTGCTGCTGCTGTAGGAGAGGGTGGGGCCCCCCAGCTTCAGTGTGTAGCTTGGGGTTAGCTAGCTAGATGTCCGCATTGAAAGGCAGCTGACTAGCTGGGCAGAAAGGCAAGAAGTTGTCTAGCTGGAGGGCTGGCTAGCTAGCTGGCTGACAGCTAGCCGAAGCACTAGTTAGCTGTTTCCCCCAGCTAGCTGTTGAACCGGCTAGCTAGCTAGCTAGCTAGCTAGCTACCTCACTGGCCAACTAGCTGGGTAGCTGGCTGGCCCGCCATCTAGCTAGCTAGCTGGCTATCTAGCTAGCGAGCTAGCTGGCTATCTAGCTAGCTAGCTGGCTATCTATCTAGCTAGCAAGCTGGCTATCTAGCCAGCTAGCTAGCTGGCTAGGTATCTAGCTAGCAAGCTAGGTAGCTAGCTAGCTAGCTAGCTAGCTAGGAATGTTTCCTCTGTGCTGCTGAAGACAGGCAGCAGCAGCTGAGCTAGCCGAGCCGCGGGGCTCCCGAGGAAAAGGCGAAAAGAGAAATTGGGAAAAATAAATTAAAAATAAAAAAATAAATTGGAAAAAATAAAAATAACAAATAACAAATAACAAATAAAGATAAAAGAACTAATTAAAGCCAGTTGATATTAATAAATGAAAGAGAAGAGAAAGAGTGGGGCTCTTGGGGATGGGGTTTAGCTGCTGTTTGTTTATTTGCGTTGGCATTTTCTCTGCCAGATCTTTAGGGTTTAGGGTTTAGGGTTTAGGGTTTGGGGTTTAGGATTTACTGCCGGTGAATCGGCAGACTTGTCAAGAAAGAAAACAAAAAATGAAAAGTTACTTTTGCTGGCAAGGACGGCGCCCCTGTGGTGTCCGTAAACCCTAAACCCTAAACCCTAAACCCTAATTTTCTCCGCTCCTTGGCTCGTCTGCTGCCTGCCCTCTTCGGCGGGGGGCGCTAGGCTGCCAGCTGTAGCAGCAGCAACAGCAGCAGCAGCATCAGCAGCAGCAACAACAACAACAGCAACAAAAGCAGCAAGAACAGCAACAACAAGAGCAACAGCTGCAGCAGCAGCAGCGGCGGCAGCAGCAGCAGCAACAACAGCAACGAAAGCAGCAACAACAGCAGCAATAACAGCAGCTGCAGCAGAAGCAGCAGCAGCAGCAGCAGCAGCAGCACGCGTGTGTAATTTGAGGCGTCTCGCGGTCCCGTTTGTAGTGGACGTACAGCGCGAGTTCAGCAGCAGCAAAGAACTATTTCGAATAATCATTTTTATTTATTTAGAATTAATTAAATGATAATTTTGTTGTTTAATTAATTAATTAATTCGTTTTATTTCCGAATTTATGCAGCTGGGACGCTGAGGCGGGTTTGCCGGGCCGTTTTTGCTGCTGCCCATTTGAAAGGAGATTCTTTTCTCCGTCTTCGGCGCTGCAAAAGCCAAAAAGAATTCCTTTTTGAATTCAAAAAAAGAAATAAATAAAATAAATGAATAAGACAGGGCGGCGGAGGCGGGGTGTTCGGGTGTCTGACCATACACCCGAACGCTGCGGTGTATGCGCAGCTTGGCTGGCGCTGGTTCCGGAATGCGCGAAGTTGCCGCTAAAAAAGGCGGAAAACCCTCAAAAGGCATTTTTAAATGATTTAAATGGCAATTAAGTGGCATTTAAACTCCATTTTAGCGTTTTCTGGCGGGCTTTGGCCCCGCGCCCCCAGGCGCCGACGACCGTGCTCTGAGGTGTCTGTACACCTGAGCCGCCCAGCCGCGCCGCCGAGCCCCTGCCGACGCAGCAGTGCCGTTACTTTTGTCTTTTATTCTTTTAAAAACTCGGAAAGTGTTTAGAAAAGTGTTTAATTTGAGGTTTGATCGCAACTCTGCTGCGCGAGGCGTCCGTCGAGCGTAGCTGCTGCTGCTGGTGATCTGAGGTGTCTGTACACCTCGTCAGCTGCTGCTCGCGCGCCTCCGGCGGCGCCGACTTCTCCGATTTTTTCCATTTTTCCACTTTATTTGTTTATTTAATCTTTTATTTTGCATTTTAAACTCAAAATTTACGAAAATGCCCCACGGGCTCACCGTTCTCACTGCCACAATGACTGGGGGGGCTGTAGGGGGCTCTACTGCAGCAGGAACGGCTTGCTGCGGCGGCTGGTGCCCCTGGTGCCCCACTGCGACAGCAGCAGCAGGCGCGCCAGCAGCAGCAGCAGCAGCGCCGGCAACAGCAGGCACTGCAGCAGCTGCTGCTGCTCCTGCTGCAGCAGCTCCCGCTGCTGCGGGCGCCGGCGCCGGCCTGGGAGCAGCAGGAGGAGCAGCAACAGTCCCAGGTGCTGCAGCAACTCCCCTGGTCTCCGGCTTCGGCGCTGCAGCAGCAGGCAGCAGCGGCTCAACTGCAGCAGCAGCAGGAGCCCCGCTGCTGCAGCAGGCCATGGGCGTCGTCACCGGTTTGCTGCTGCTGCCCCGCAAGACCTCTTCTTTGTTAGCCAAAATGAGGAAGGAGCAGCAGCAGCAGCAGCAGCAGCAGCAGCAGCAGGAGTCAGCAGGCGAGGACACCGAGGAGGAGACAGTGGCCAGCGACGCCGAGATCCCTTCAAAAGCTGCAGCAGCAGCAGCAGCAGCAGCAGCAGCAGCAGCAGCAGCAGCAAGCTTCCCCGACCAAAGGACTGTCCGCAAAATGAGCAGAGAAGCCCCGGAAGATGCGCAGCTAGCTGACTTTTCGGCCAGAAGCACAGAAGCATACAACCGGTTTCTCTAGGCCCAGCTAGCTAGGCAGCAGCTAGCTAGCTAGCTAGCTAGCTAGCCAGCTAGCTAGCCAGCAGCTAGCTAGCCAGCGTCTATCTAGCTAGCTAGCCAGCTAGCTAGCTAGCCAGCAGCTAGCTAGCTAACTAGCCAGTTAGCTAGCCAGCAGCTAGCTAGCCAGCTGGCTAGCCAGCCGCCAGCCAGCTAGCTAGCTAGCCAGTGAGCAGCTAGCTAGCTGGTTAGCTAGCTCCAGCCAATGGGCAGCTAGCTAGCCCGCTTGCTTTTAGCTAGCTAGCCAAACTGCTAGCCAGCAGCTAGCTAGCTGCCCGCAGCAGCAGAGCTAGCCGTTCCTTCTCTCCATCCGCTAGCTAGCTAGTGAGCTAGCTATCTAACTAGCTGGCTAGCTAGCTAGCTAGTGAGCTAGCCAGCTAGTGAGCTGGCTAGCTAGCTAGCTAGCTAGCTAGCTGGCTAGCTGCTGAATTTGCTGCCCTTGTGGGTGCAGCTTTTTAGGGCGCAGCAGCGCAGTGTACGCCGGCGGGTGCTGCGGTGTACGTACACCCGAGCTCTGTGCAATGAGTAGTTGCTGAAGTGCCATTTCTGTTTTTAAATTAAAATGCTTTTCCACTTTTAATATTTCTTCTCCAAATATAAATATCTGCATGCATATGAGTGGCAGCTGCGGCGCTGCGGGGAGCCTGGGGTGTACGTACAGCGCAGCAGCAGCACAGAAGGCCGGTGGAGTGTCTGCGCAGCTGCTGCAGCAGCAGCAGCAGCAGCTGCAGCAGCAGCTGCAGCAGCTGCAGCAGCAGCTGCTGCAGCAGCTGCAGCAGCTGCTGCTGCTGCGTTTCGTGCGGCAGTTTGCTGCTGCTCTTGTCCTCGCGTTTGTTCTTTTGCTGCTGAAAGGCCCTGGATTTGTTTGAAGCGCTGGGGTGTACGTACACCTCAGCGGCGCGTGCTGCTGCTGCTGTTTTTTGGGCTTTTTGCTTTTGTTTGCGTAGCTCCAAATGAATAAAATAACAATGTCTTTTATTTATTTATTATTTATTCTTTGCTTTTATGTTTTGTCTTTTGTAATTTGTCATTTTCCTCCTTTGTTCGCCTTCGCCTGGGGTGTACGTACACCCCGGCAGCAGCAGCAGTCGCTGCTGCTGCACCTGCTGCTGCTGCTGCTGCTGCTGCGGCTGCTGCTGCCACGACTCCGGGAATTTAGACTGTCATTTAAGTCAAAAGGACGAATTCCATTGCATGTTTTTGTTTAGGGTTTAGGGTTTAGGGTTTAGCGTTTAGGGTTTAGGGTTTAGATAGATTTCTGTCTTTGCTGTTGAACAATGAACTGCTGCTGCTGCGCTGCTTAGGTGTACGTACACCTCGTCTGCTTCGCATGCCGCCGTTGCCGCAACAGCAGCAGCTGCTGCTGTGCTGCAGCAGCACATCTCCTTTTCTCTGCCTCCTTTGCTGCTGCTTCTGCCTAAAGACGAATCCCCATTAACTCCTTAGCAGCGCAGCAATAAAGAAAAATTTTATTTAATTAAAAGTTTTATTTTATTTATTTAAATTAAATAAAATTAAATTCTTTCCGCAGCTTTTGCTGCTTCTGTCTCAAACGCCTGGCGCCCCACAAACCCTAAAGCCTACATAGGGGCCCCCAGGGGCCCCCGGGGGCCCCCAGGGGCCCCCAGGGGCCTCCTGGGGCCCCCGAGGGCCCCCAGGGGGCCCTCAGGGGGCCCCCAGGGGGCCCCAAAGAGCCTCGAGGGCTCAACGCAGGGGCCCTCCGGGGCCCTTATGGCTTCTTCACGAGGCCCTTAGGGGGCCCCCTGGGGCCCCACAGAGGGGCCCCCAAGGGGCCCTAAAGGGCTTTTAAAAGGCCCCAAAGAAGCCCTAAAGAGGCCTCCAGGGGGCCCCCAAGGGGCCCCTCAGGGGCCCCTCAGGGGCCCCCAGGGGGCCCCCTGGGGGCCCCCAAAGGGTCAGGGGGCCCTTGGGGGGCCCCTGTGGGGCCCCGACCCCGCGAGCATCTGCTGCACTTTAGAAGAAGTGTTATAATATTAGAATTGGATTTGAATTAAATAATTTAAATGGCAATTATCATTTTAATTCTGCTGAATAACCCTAAACCCTAAACCCTAAACCCTAAACCCTCGGCCCCACGCAGCAGTTCCTTGGGACGAGGGCCCCCGGGGGCCCCCGCGACTAAATTTATGTTTTTGAATTAATCAATTTTAATTTAAAATTAAATTTTAATTAATTTTATTTCAAATGGCGAAAGAAGCAGCAGAAGAAGCTGCTGCAGCAGCAGCAGCAGCAGCAGGAGCAGCGCCTCGAGCAGCAGCAGCAGCAGGTGACCCCGGCGCAGCCGCCCCTCGCGCAGCAGCAGCAGCGCCAGCAGCAGCAGCAGCAGCAGCAGCAGCAGCGCCTGCAGCAGCAGCAGCAGCAGCGCCTGCAGCAGCAGCAGCAGCAGCGGGTCCGCGGGACCCGGGTTTGCTGCTGCAGCAGCTGGCAGCAGCAGCAGAAGAGGATGACCAGTGGTCCGTGTCTGCTGCTTACCTGCAGTTCCTGGAGGCGAAGTACAGAGACCTGGAGTGCCCCCTTTTCCTGGAGACGATCCCAGACGATCCCAGCTCCGATCCCCAGTTGCATGCGCTGCAGCTGTTGGCTTTTGAGGGCGAAACACCCCACACTGTGGCTGCCAGGTGTCGAGACACCGGAAACCGCTTTGCTGCTGCTGCTGCAGCAGCAAAACGAGCAGCAAATCCCGCCAGCTTCAAACGCCAACTCTTCAACGCACAACAGGCCTACCAGGCCGTCCGCAAACCCTAAACCCTAAACCCTAAACCCTAAACCCTAAACCCTGGGCCGGCCTTCGGGGCGGACGCGGGAGCGAGCCCTAAACCCTAAACCCTCGACCCCGGCGCAAACCCTAGGCCCTGCCGCAGACCCGAAACCCGGGCTTCTAAACCCTAAACCCTAACGCAAACCCTAAACCCTAAACCCTAAACCCTCGAGAGTGCCCCAGGGTCGCTTTTGCGGCGCTGAGGAGGCTTCGAGCCGCCGTGAGTGCGCAGCGCAGCCGCAAGCCGCAAACCCTAAACCCTAAACCCTAAACCCTAAACCCTAAACCCTAAACCCTAAATGGTTGTTTTCAGGGTTTGGAACAAGGAATAGATGACAAAAAAGAACTTTCGCTGCTGCACTCCAACTTGGCGCTTTGCTACTTAATGAGTGGCGAGCTGCTGCGGTGTATAGACAGCTGCAGGGCCGCCATCAAACTAAACCCCAGAAACCTCAAGGCGTAAACCCTAAACCCTAAACCCTAAACCCTACGCCCTGCGGCTGCACTCCAGAGCCCTCTCAGCCCGCGCAGAAGCCCGCAGACAGAGTTTCGCCAAAACCCTAAACCCTAAACCCTAGACGCGCTCCTCGCAGAACCCTCCTGCTAAACCCTAAACCCTAAACCCTAAACCCTAAACCCTAATTCGGTTGCTGTCAGGTATCTGCGGGGGTCCAAGGCGTCGATACACCTCGAGCTGTACGCACAAGCTGAGCGTTTTGCTTCTATGGGGCTGCAGGCAGCAGCAGCAGCAGCAGCAGAAGCAGCAGCAGAGGAAGCAGCAGCAGCAGCAGCAGCAGAAGCAGCAGCAGAGGAAGCAGCAGCAGCAGCAAAAGCCGAAGCAGCAGCAACAGCAGCAGACGGAGAAGCAGCAGCAGCAGCAGCAGCAAAAGCAGCAGGAAACGCTGCAGCAGAAAAGGAGCTGCGGGCGCTGCTGGAAGAGGCGCAGCGGCTGCACAAGGAGCAGCAGCAGCGCAAAGCAGCAGCAGCAGCAGCAGCAGCAGCAGCAGCAGCAGCAAAACCCAAACTGCCTTCCCCAAAAGAAATTCTCAGCAAGAGGGGTGGGGTGTATGTACACCCCGTCCTTCCTTTGCTTCCACCTTCTCTTTTTTCTTTTTCTTTTTTATTTTCTTTTTTAATTTCTTTTTATTTTATTTTTATTTTATTCTTTTATTTTGTTTTTTATTTTCTTTATTTTAATTTCTTATCTTCTCGGTTTTTGCTTTTTGCTGCTGCTTTATTTCCTCCGCGTGACTGGTATCTGCGCCTGCTGCGGCGTGGTCCACTGGTCACCTGCTGCTGCTGCTGCTGCTGCTGCTGCTGCTGCTACTACTGCTGCTGCTGCACTGCTGCTGCTGCTACCCCTGCTGCTGCTGCCGTTCTGCTGCTGCTGCTGCCACGATTTCTGCTGCTGCTGTTGCTGCTGCTGCTGCAGGCGTGAGGGTTTGTGGGGTGCCGGGTGGTCTGGCGGAGATAGCAGCACAAGTGCCCGAGGTGTCTGTACACCTGGAGCCCCTAAACGGGCAGTACTATTTGCTGCTGCCGCTGCTGCTGCTGCTGGATGAATACTCAAGAGCGGATGCTGTAGCAGCAGCAGACGAGAGGCTTTCCCTGCTGCAGCAGCTCAAAACAATCTTCCCTTCCAAGTACACACTCATGCAGCAGCAGCAGCAGCAGCAGCAGCAGCAGCAGCAGCAGCAGCAGCAGCAGCAGCCGAGGATGGAGGCGGAGGGGGAAGCCACAGAGTTTCCTTCTTGGGACCATGAAAAGAAATATGTGCTAGAAAATCTTGTAGCTTATTATGAGGTAAGCTGCTGCTGCTGCTACTGTTGCTGCTGCTGCTGCTGCTGCTGCTGCTGCTGCTGCTGCTACTGTTGCTGCTGCTGATTCTTGGGCTGCGGATGGTATTGTTGGTTGCGTGGCTGCTATTTCTTCCTTTGTCGCTTGTTGAGTTGCTTCTGCTTTTGCTGCTGCTGCTGCTGCTGCTGCTGCTTAGAAGTGGTGCTGCTGGTGTCATGTTGTTGTTGCTGCTGCTGCTGCTGCTGCTGCTGCTGTATGGGGTTGCTGCCGGCGGTGCTGCGCCTTCAGTTGCTGGCGTGGCTGCCGCAAGTGGTGCACGTTCTCACATATTTCGCTGCTGCTGCTGTTGCTGCTGTTGCTGCTGCTGCTGTTGCTGCTGCTGCTGTTGCTGCTGCTGCTGTTGCTCCTGCTGCTGCTGCTGCTGCTGCTGCTGCTGCAGTGCGGGCTGCCAGGGGGAGTTTTGCTGAGCTTTCCAATGGGTCTTCCGCTGGCTCTTCTTTTGGAGCGTTCGAAGCGCTTTATTGGGATTGCTGCATTCCACATCCTCGTGAGCTAGGGTTTAGGGTTTAGGGTTTAGGGTTTAGGGTTTAGGGTTTGAGGGTGTTAAAGGCCCTGCTGCTGCTGGATTGCTGCATCCCACATCCTCGTGAGCTAGGGTTTATGGTCGAGGCTCTAGGGTTTAGGGTTTGAGGGTGTTTAAGGGCCTTGGTGCTGCTGCTGCTGCTGCTGCTGCTGCTGCTGCTGCTGCAGGTGAAGGGCACACCGAGCCACGAGGCTTTCATCAGAGACGCGCGCATAGAGAAGCTGGAGTTTTAGAGCTAAACCCTAAACCCTAAACCCTAAACCCTAGGGTTTTTTGTAAACCCTTGAGCCCAAAGCATAGGTCAGTGGAAGGGTCCCCTTTGCCTTCTCCAGCAGGCTGAGCTGCTGCTGCTTTAAGGGTTTAGGGTTTAGGTTTTAGGGTTTAGGTCTGAGGTTTTCGGAACTAGGGTTTAGGGTTGTGAATATAAGGCTTAGGGTTTTGATTCTAGGGTTTAGGATTCTGAATAAAGCGCATAGGGCCGTATATCTAGGGTTTAGGGTTTTGGATCTAGGGTCTAGACTTTTGGATTTAGGGTTTAGTGCTCAGGGTTTAGGGTTTAGGGTTTAGGGTTTAGGGTTTAGGGTTTAGGCGGTTTCTGCCAGAGCTTCCCGCGATGAAATCGGGTCAGAAGTTGCGGATTTTACTCTTTTTTAGGAATTTAATTATCTTTTGAAAACACAAAAATAAAAAAAGAGAAAAAAGAGAAAAAGAAGCAGCAAAACTGCAGCAGCAACTCAGAACTGAAAAGAAGCAAAAGTTTGCTGCCGGGGTTCGAACCCGCGAGCTGCTGCATCACCGAATTTTTCGAATTTTTCATTTTTGCTTCAAATTAAGTTCTTTTTTCAATTAAATGCTCTTTTATTGAATTAAATGCATTTAAATTCAAATTAAATGCCTTTTTGTCTTCAATTTAATTCAAAATTCACTTCATTTCGAGCAAACTCGAGGCCGCTTCAATTTTCCAGTGCAGCCCCCAGGTGTATGTACACCTGCGACTTTGTCTTCTTTTCTTTTTCCCCAAATTGCGTTTTTGAGATTTAAAATCATTTAATTTAATTTATTTAAATTAAATAAATCTGTATTTCCATTCACTTTCAAGTTCTACTTCTTAGCGGGGCTCAAATGCCTTAATTTTGCATTTCTGTTCTTCTAAACTCTGGAAGGTTTTCAAAACCCTCAGGGTCACCGGACCACTGGTCACTCCACTGGTCTGCAGCGGTCTCTAAACCCTAAAAAAGGGTTTAGAGACCCCTGCAAACCACCGAGACCCTGAACCCTTTTCGCTTCGAATCCTTACGCAGAGCCCGTTCAGCAGCTCTTGCTGCTGCTGCTGCTGCTGAACTGCTGCAGTCCAGTGGACCAATGGTCACCCGCAGCAGCAGCACAAAGCAGTAGAGCCTGCTGCTGCTGCTGCTGCTGCAGCTTCAGCTGCTGCGGCGAACTGGCCAGCAGCAGATGCAGCGCCACAAGCTGCTGCACCAACAGCAGCAGCAGCAGCAACAGCAGCAGCAGCAGCAGCAGCAGCAGCAGCAGCAACAGCAGCAGCAAAAGGGCCGTTCCGGGAATTGAACCCGGGACCTCTCGCACCCAAAGCGAGAATCATACCACTAGACTAAACGGCCGCCGCGAGCTCCCTAAACCCTAAACCCTAAACCCTAAACCCTCATCCCTAAACCCTAATTCCTAAACCCTAATCCTCAAACCCTAAACCCTCGCATCAAACTCTGAACCCTGGAGCCTAAGTTGAGCAGTTAGTAATGCCAAGAGTGGCGCTCACTGCAGCAGGAGCAGAGTTACTACAAACCCTAAACCCTAAACCCTAAACCCTAAACCCTCGACTAAACCCTCATCCTCTCAATAAGATTAGACAAGATGAAAATTGAAAGTTCAATTTCAAAGTGAAAGAAAAGAGTTCGCAGCAGCTGCGATCCAGACTAGGCTTAGCTTGCTGCTGCTGCTGCTGCACTGCAGCAGCAGCTGCTGCTGCCGCTGCTGCTGCAGATAGTAAACGGTAGCAGCAGAAGCAACAGCAGCAGCAGCAGCAACTGCTGCTCCTACTGCTGCTGCAGGTAGTAGACGGGCAGCTGCTGGCTGATCCCCTTCCAGTGACTCGCTGGACTCAAACCCTAAACCCTAAACCCTAAACCCTAAACCCTAAACCCCAAGAGGGTTTCGCGCTTTACGCGGTGACCTTGAGCAAGAACTCCTGCAGCAGCTCACGCCGCAGCCAGCAACAAAAGCCAACAACTCGGAACTAGGGTTTAGGGTTTAAGGGTTTCGGGTTTTCTTAGGGTTTAGGGTTTAGGGTTTAGGGTTTAGGGTTTAGGGTTTAGGGTTTACTTTTAGCTGCTTCATTGCCCGGCCTCTGTGGGAGACGCTGCTCTTCTCTTCCGTCGTCATTTCCCCGAAAGTCTTTTTGGAACTTTTCTCTTCAAAGATGCAGTCCCTGCACAAAACCCTAAACCCTAAACCCTAAACCCTAAACCCTAAACCCTAAACCCTAAATCCGGTGCTCGCTCCGGGCACTCCCGCGGTCGAGGGGAGGCAGCCCCGGCAAACAAAGCCATCCACTTCACCCTAAACCCTAAACCCTAATTCTAAACCTTAAACCCTAAACCCTAAACCCTAATTCCAAACCTTAAACCCTAAACCCTAAACCCTAAACTCTTAGGGCTTATTCGCAGAGCAGCCTCCGCTCACCAGCCAAATGTTGTCTTCCCTCGCGGCTCTACCACTGACCCCTGCAGCAGCAGCAGCAGCAGCAACAGCAGCAGCAGCAGCAGCAACAGCAGCAGCAGCAGCAGCAACAGCAGCAGCAAGCTTCAAAGCGTTATCGCGTTCTTTTGGAGGCTGTGGCCACTACGCGCGGGCCCTCTGCTGGACGCCTAGGGTTTAGGGTTTAGGGTTTAGGGTTTAGGGTTTAGGGTTTACGTCACAGCGGCCCTCGAAAAGATGCAAAGCGCCGCTTGAGTCTGCAATGCAGATGCTGGTCAGGGCGTACGCAGTTTTGTCCTGCAAAGCCAAAACAAGGGTTTAGGGTTTAGGGTTTAGGGTTTAGGGTTTAGGGTTTGCGGCTCGCTGCAGCAAGGCCTACCTCAAACCCCGCAAGAAGCTTGGGGAGACCAGCAGCCCCCAAGTTCTTCAAAAACCATTTGCTGCAGCACCACAAGCAGCAGCAGCAGCAGCAATAAGTGCAGCAGCAGCAGCAGCAGCAGCAGCAATGAGAGCAGCAGCAGCAGCAGCAATGAGAGCAGCAGCAGCTGCAGCAGCTGCCTCTGCAACGTCCCTGCGTCATGACTTTGCTGCTGCTCCATCTGCTTCGTAAACCCTAAACCCTCGACCCTAGACCCTAAACCCTAAACCCTAAACCCTAAACCCTAAACCCTAGAACTGACACATAAGGGCCTGGAAGGCCTCCAAGGGCGTTGAAGCAGAGCGCGGTGTCCTCCGTAAACACAAATTCCGGCAGTTTGCTGCTGCTGCTGCTGCTGCTGCTGCTGTCGCTGCTGCTGCTGCTGCTGCTGCTGTCGCTGCTGCTGCTGCTGCTGCTGCTGCGGTGCTGGGCAAGAGCCGCCCGGCATTTGGCCTTCGAAATTTCTGCTGTCTCCCCCTGGATCTCCGGCACTGTGCAGAAACCCTAAACCCTAAACCCTAAACCCTAAACCCTAAACCCTAGACCCTAAACCCTAAACCCTAGACCCTATTCGAGGGTTTTGGGGACCCGCTGGGGCCGTCACCGCAGCAAATATTTACGGCTCGGGACCTACACACTCGAGCCTCCATAATAAACGTTCCTAGGGTTTAGGGTTTAGGGTTTAGTGTTTAGGGTTCCGGGAGTGGATTTTAGGGTTTAGGGTTTAGGGTTTAGGGTTTAGGGTTTAGGGTTTACGAACAGTCAACATCGAGTGCGCGGAACTCCACAGGAACTCCTTCCATAAGTTTTTGGACTTCTTTTAATTTGTTTTGGTTTCCAGTGCAGAAGAAAACCACTGCTCGCGCCATTTTGCAAACCCTAAACCCTAAACCCTAAACCCTAAACCCTAAACCCTAAACCCTAGAAGGACCCGGACTCGTGGCAGGCCGCGGGGGCCGCAGACACGGAGGCTGGCTAGTGCAGACAAGGCTCGCGCACCTAAACCCTAAACCCTAAACCCTAAACCCTAGGCCCCAAACCCTAAACCCTAGGCGCTAAACCCTAAACCCTAAACGCGAAGAAGGCCCTTTTTCGGCAGTGGCGCCGCAGCCCCGGCGCATGCGGGAAGCAGCGCGCCCTAGCTGCAAGCCCTAAACCCTAAACCCTAAACCCTAAACCCTAAACCCTAAACCCTAATGAGTTTTTTCAGTTTTTGCTCAAAAGAAATTGCCAGTAAAAGAGGTGCAGTCGGCGGTTGCGGTGGCTGTCAGGGAGGCGCGGCCGCTTTGAGACGCGGCGAGGGTTTAGGGTTTAGGGTTTAGGGTTTAGGGTTTAGGGTTTAGGGTTTAGGGTTTGGGGGCAGAGCGACTGCGCGAAGTCACCTTGCGATGCTCTGAGCCTTCTTCAGCCTTTTGCTGCTTCCGCAGCGCCGCTGCTGCCGCTGCCGAGCAGCCGCAGCAGCAGCAGCAGCAGCAGCAGCAGCAGCAGCAGCAGCAGGAGAATGGCTTCGGGATGGTTTAAGCAGCAGCTGCTGCCGCTGCTGCTGCAGCGCTGGGGGCCCCTGCGGGGCCGCAGCACGGCCGTGTTTTTGTGGGGCGCGGGGTGTACGTACACCTGGATGGGGGGCTCGAACCCGGTGTCTTTGCTGCCGCTTTGCTGCTGCTGCTGCTACGACGGTGCTGCGCTGCTGCTGCCGCCGCTGCGGCAGCGCCGCTGCCTCTTCTATTTGAAAGTTGCTGCTGCAGCAGACAAGCTGCATCTCCAGAGTCCCCTCTTGAACCACTATTTGCTGCTGCGCATCTGCAGCCACCTGCAGCAGCAGCTGCTGCAGCAGCAGCTGCCGCCCGCTGCAGCAGCAGCGCCGGGCGCCAGCAGCAGCAAGAAGCAGCCCGCCCCCAGGAACTACAGCAGCAGCAGAAGCTACAGCAGCAGCAGCAGCAGCAGCAGGGCTGCTGCTGCTGCTGCGCTGAGAGAGCGAGCAGCAAACACGCCGCTGCCGGCAGTTGTGGGGCGGCTGCAGCAGCTGCTGCTGCAGCTGGACCGCCGCAGCAGCAGCAACCGGCTCTTGTGGGAATGCTATGCTGCTGTGGCTCCCACGCTGCTGCTGCTGCTGCAGCCGCAGCAGCTGCTGCTGCAGGACTTAGCAGCAGCAGACTTCCAGCAGCTGACGCCGCAGCAGCAAACTGCCTACAGCGTCCGAAGCCTGCTGGCCCGCCGCGAGGCCGGCGCCCCGCTGCAGCAGCAGCAGCAGCAGCAGCAGCAGCTGGCGGAGCTGCACGAGCAGCCGCTGCAGCTGCTGCAGCTGCAGCACGACGAGCTGCTGCTGCAGCTCGTCTTCCTGCTGCTGCTGACTTCGCAGCGGCTGCTGCACTGGCAGCAGCATGCTGCTTATGATAAGCAGCAGCCCCCCTTTCGCCGCCCGGGGGTGGTGTCTCCAGCAGCAGCAGCAGCAGCAGCAGCAGGTCCTGCTGCTGCTGCTGCTGCTGCTCGGCCGGGTGCGGCGGCTGCTGCTGCTGCGGGGGGCGCGGGGCTCCGGACTGCAGCAGCAGACGCACCAGCTGCTGGCTGGCAGCAGCTGCTGCTTCCTGCTGCTGCTGCTGCTGCATGCAGCAGCGCAGCAGCAAGGGGCTGGCGCTGGCTGATGGAGAGCCTTCAGGAAGCAGCAGAGGCGACAGCAGCAGCTGCTGCTGCTGCTGCTTCCTCCACGCTGCTGCAGCTGTCGCCTGCAGCAAGACTTGCTGCTGCTGCTGGCGCTGAGCCCCAGGGCTGGCTGGAGGTTCCTGCTGCTGTTGCAGTGTTTTTTGCTGCTCCGCTGCTGTCGGACACGGGAGTTGCTGCAGCAGCAGCAGCAACAGCAAGTTCTCTCGGCGGCCCTGCTGCTGCTGCTGCTGCTGACGGCAGCCGCGGCGTGCTGCAGCTGCTGCAGCTCAGGGTCCAGCGGCAGCAGCAGCAGCACCCCAGCCTCGTGCTGCTGGAGACTCCAGAAGCTGCTGCTGCTGCTGTTGCTGCTGCGTGGGCGCAGCTGCAGCAGAGCAGCATCGGGCACCGCCTGCGGCGCATGCTGTGGACGAACGCCAGCAGCAGCAGCAAGTGCAGCAGCAGCAGCAGCAGCAGCAGCAGCAGCAGCAGCGCGGCCATTGATGAGGCGCGCTGCAGGGTGGGGGCTCTTGCTGCAGCAATAAGATCCATGGTGGAAAGTTTAAACGAAAAAGGCTGCTGCTTGCATGCGCTTTCACTGCAGCAGCAGCAGCGGCTGACTTTGCTGCAGCAGCAGGCGCTGCAGCGGCAGCAGCAGCAGCTCGCCGAAGCAGCTAACGCTGCTGTACGTACACCCCACCGCCTGCACAACTTCAGCCACAACTATGATGACTTGACGAACCACTGGTCACGCGCAGCAGCAGCAGCAGCAGCAGCGGGGCTTGCTGCTGTTGCGCTGCTGCTGGCAGCAGCAAACTGCAGCAGCGCAGCAGAAGGCCCTGCTGCAGCAGCAGGAAACTTCGCAAGGCTGCTGCTGCGCTGCACGGGGCTCCCGTGGCTGTGGCGGTGGATCTGGTACGACAGCAGCAGCAGCAGCAGCAGCAGCAGCAGCAGCAGCAACTGCAGCGGGGATCTGATGAGGGACTTCCAGCAGCGCCTGCAGCAGGACCCTGCAGCAGCTGCAGCAGCAGCAGCAGCAGCAGCAGGACACTACCAGCAGCAGCAGCAGCAGAACTTTTGTTCGGATTTTGATGCCGGGATGTCTGCGCTTTTCATGGCGCTGGCGAGAGAGAAAAGCGCTGCTGCTGCTGCTGCTGCTGCTGCTGCTGCGGGGCCCTATGGGTGGCAGCAGCAGCTGTATCCTGCTGCTGCTGTGCCCCTGCAGCAAACTGCTGCTGCCTTTGAAGCAGCAGCTGCTGGCTCAGCTGCTGCTCCCCGATTTGTGTAGGCGGCAGCAAAGGCTGCCGGCTAGCCTGCTGCAGCAAATGCTGCTGCTGCTGCTGCTGCTGCAGTTGTTGCTGCAGCTGCAGCGCCAACTGCAGCGCTAGTTTGTGCTGCTGCTGCTGCAGTTGTTGCTGCAGCTGCAGCGCCAACTGCAGCGCTAGTTTGTGCTGCTGCTGCTGCAGCTGCTGCTGCAGTTGTTGCTGCAGCTGCAGCGCCAACTGCAGCGCTAGTTTGTGCTGCTGCTGCTGCAGCAGCAGCACGGAGGTCTGGTCGCTTCGTAATGACTTTAGTGCTATACCTGCAGCGCAGCAGCCGCCAGCAGCAGCAGCCGCAGCAGCAGCAGCAGCTGCTGCTGCTGCTGCTGCAGCTATTTTTGCTGCTGCTGCTGCTGCTGCAACGAGCAGCGCAGCGTGGAGAGGGAAGCGTGCTGCTGGTAGAACAGCGCCGTTTGTAGCTAAACCGCAAACCCTAAACCCTAAACCCTAGGGCTGCAAACCCTAAACCCTAGGGCTGCAAACCCTAAACCCTAAACCCTAAACCCTCGCGGGTTAGGGCCAATTGCTGTCTTTTGTTTCCGCGGCTCAAAAACGAAAAAGAAATAAAAGAGGAGTTTGAAATTATTTTAAATCTAATTTAATTTAATTTAAATTAGATTTAAATTAAATTTAATTTAAATTTAAATTAAATTTAAATTTGATTTAAATTAAATTTAAATCTAAATTAAATTTAAATTAAATTTAAATTAGAATCAAAAAGGAAACAAAAAGAGACAAAGAGAGAAAAACTGAACAGCAACTTCCTCATGAAGTTTTTTATTTTTTATTTTTATTTTTATTTTTAATTCTTTTCGCATTTATTTATTTTATTTCCTTTTATTTGTTTTTATTTCTTTCTATTTACTTTTATCTTCATTTATTTTTATTTTTATTTTATTTATTTTATTATTTTTGCTTGTCTCCATTCACTTTTATTCATTTTATTTATTTTCATTAAATTCTATTTTATTTGATTTTTATTTTTTACTTTTTTAATATTTTGAATTTATTTCTTTTAAGCTTTCCATTTAATTTTTTTTCAATTTTTACTTTTCTATTTTCTGTTTTTATTTACCCTCTGCATTTTTACTTTCATTTTAATTTTGACTTTTTATTTTTAATTTTATTTTTGTTTCCGAATTTATTTTTTCTGTTTTTATTTTTGTTTTCATTTCTTTTATGTGTCAGTATTTATGTTTATGTCTTTTTATTTGTTTCTACTTTTTATTTTCAATTTATTTTTCTTGGTTTTTATTTTTATTTATTTTCTTATTTTTGTCTTTAATTTTTATTTTGTTTTTATGAATTAATTTGAGGTGTTGGAATGCAAATGGGAGAAAAGAAATTAAAAGGAAATTAAAAAGAAATTAAAAAGAAATTAAAAAGAAATTAAAAGAAATAAAAGAAGTTAAAAAGAAATTAAAAAGAAATTAAAAGAAATAAAAGAAGTTAAAAAGAAATTAAAAATGACAAAAACAGAAAAGGAGAGCAGCAGCAAAAGAAAGACAAGGAGAGCAGCAAAAGTGACACAAAACAGCAGCAGAAGCAGCAGCAAAAAGAAGCAGCAGCAAAACAAGCAGCAGCAAAAAGAAGCAGCAGCAAAAAGAAGCAGCAGCAAAAAGAAGCAGCAGCAAAGGGAAGCAGCAAAAGACTAAAGGAAGCAATGTAGTTAACAAGAGAGGCGAAAACTAGAAAGAAAAAGAAATTGTTGTTGCAGCAGCAGCAGCCGCTGCTGCTGCTGCTGCTGCTGCTGCTGTCCGTCAATGCGTAATACAAATGCGGTAATGCTACGTTTGCTGCTGCAGCAGCAGCAACGGCAGCAGCAGGCAGCATTGGCGTTGCCCTACGTTGGCTAAGGTTGTGCTGCTGCGGCACCAGCAGCAGCACCAGCAGCAGCAGCAGCAGCTGCTGCTGCTGCTTGTTGCTTCATCTTCCGTAATATGTTGACAAAGCCGTTCATGCGGCTGCAGAGCACAGCAGCAGCAGCAGCAGCAGCAGCAGCAGCAGCAAAGGTAAGTGTAGTTAGGCCAGCAGCGGCAGCAGCAGCCGTACTGCGGGAGGCAAATGCAGCAGCAGCAGCAGCAGCAGCAAAAGCAAAGTGGCGGCAGCAGCAGCAACAGCAGCAGCACCACCAGTGGCAAACGACACCGCAGCGGAAACAGCAACAGCAAGAACAGCAGCAAGTGTGCTGGGGGTGCAGCAGCAGCAGCAGCAGCAGCAGCAGCAGCAGCAGCAAGGGCAGCAGTTCCAGGCACCACACTCCTAGCAACAACGGCGGCAGCTACACACGCAGCAGCAGCAGCCATGACAATCAAAGCAAGCACAGCAGCAGCAGCAGCAGAAAGCGCAGCAGCAGCAGCAGCAAAAGCAGCAGCAGCAGCAGCAGCAAACGCAGCAGCAGCAGCAGCAGCAGCACCTGATTGCAACAAACTGCTGCAGATTGGCTCGCTTCAAAATGTCTGTGGGCAGCGCCAGTACTTCAGACGGCCTGCTGCCGCGCAGGCCCTGCAGCAGCAGCTGCAGCAGACCGGCTGTCAGAGCTGCATCTGCAGCAGCAGCAGCAGCAGCAGCAGCAGCAGCAGCAAGAAGCAAATGGAAACAGCAGCACCAAAGGGGCGCGCAGAACACCACCTGCCGCAGCAGCAGCAGCAGCAGCCAGAGCAGCCCGACAGAGCAGCAACCGCAGCAGCAGCTAGCTACAGCAACAGCAACACCCGCAGCAGCGAACAGCAGCAGCAGCAGCTGCTGCTGCTGCTGCTGCTGCTGCTGCAGCAGTGACGGACTTGATTCGCCTTCATAGAACAGCAGCAGCTCGCCGCTGCTGCTGCGGCGGGGAGTGCAATGTACATACACCTCACTTATGCAGCCCTGCGCATCACAAGACCACTCAGAGGCCTCTGCTGCAGCAGCAGCAGCAGCAGCAACAGCGGCAGCAGCAGCAAGAGCAGAGCCATGCACAACAGCAGTAACAGCAGCAGCAGCAACAGCAGCAGCAGCAGCAGCAGCAGCAGCACCTGGACTTTGTTTGCGGGGGTCCTCAAGCGAGGGTGTAGGCGCTGCGCAGTTGACCCAAGGGCCATCAAGTGCTGCATCCTGTAGCAGCAACAGCAGCAGCAGCAGCAGCAGCAGCAGTAGCAGCAGCAGCAGCAAGTTCAGCAGCAGCAAGTTCAGCAGCAGCAGCGGTAGAGAGCTTGTGCAGCGGCAGCGCGAATAACAGAGCCCCAGGTCTTGAAGCACGAGCAACAGCAGCAGCAGCAGCAGCAGCAGCAGCTGCAGCAACAGCAGCAGCAGCAAAGTTGCTGCTGCTGTTGCTGCTGCTGCTTAAACAAAATCCTGAAAAAAGCCCCTGAAAGCCCACAGAGCCCCTTAGGGGCCCCCAAGACCTTTTTGAGGCCCCGGGGGGCCCCCTGAGGGGCCCCCTGGGGGGCCCCCTGAGGGGCCCCCTGAGGGGCCCCCCAGGACCCCCTGAGGGGCCCCTGGGGGGCCCCAGGGGCCCTTTTAGGGGGCCCCCGCGGCCCTTGCTGGGGGGCCCCTGGGGGCCCCCCAAGGGCCCGCAGGGGCCCCCAGGGGGGCCCCCAGGGGCCCCTTGTGGTTTTGTAAAAGCTGCTGCTGCTGCTGCTGCTGCAGTTACCTGGCTCTTGGGTCTTTAAGAGAAGCTAATTGGTCTATTAATGCAGATAAAGGCCCCGGCACATTCCTGCTGCTGCTGCTGCTGCTGCTGCTGCTGCTGCTGCTGCTGCTGCTGCTGCTGCTGCTGAGAAGGGGCGAGGATTCGCCTCGAGGAAACGGCCGAGCTAGAAATAAGGGGGGCCCGGAGATGAGCTGCTGCTGCTGCTGCACGTGCTGCTGCTGCTGCTGCTGCTGCTGCTGAAGCCTCTGCTGCTGCTGCTGCATGCGCTGTGGCCCGTGGGGCAGTGCGTGCGGGACTGCGGGGAGCCCCAGCAGCGGCCTGCTGCAGCGTCTAAATGCAGCTCCGCGCTGCAGCAGCAGCAGCAGCAGCAGCAGCAGCAGCGGCAGCAGCAGCAAATTGCAAGTTGGGCGCCTCATGTGTCCCGAGATCTAACTGCAACTGCTGCGGAAGCCCGCGTCTTCTACCTGCTGCTGCAGCCATAAGTAGCAGCAGAAGCTGCTGCTGCAGTTTGCTGCTGCTGCTGCTCTTGCTGCTGCTGCTGCTGCTGCTGCGGTGACCTGGGGCCCCAGGCTGCCAAGACAACCCGGGGGGCCCCCGCCCCCAAAGGGTCTTTCTTTGTTTAAAAAGAATTAAAATAAAACAAAATAAATACAAATTTAATTCAATAAAGTTTATTTCCAACAAAAACCGAAAGTCCAGCCCACAAGGGGAGGGTCTACTTCAAGGGGGGCCCCCCGGGGGGCCCCTGGCTGCAGGGGGCCCCCCGGGGGCCCCCAGGGGCCCCCACACTCAGGGGCCCCCAGGGGCCCCCCAGGGGCCCCACAGGGGCCCCACAGGGGCCCCACAGGGGCCCCAATGAAGATTATTTTGTCTTTTATATTTTTATATTTTTATATTTTTATATTTTTGTTTAGAAGGGCCGGCTGGGAGTCTGTGGGGTGCTGCTGTTGCTGCTGCAGTTGCTGCTGCAGTTGCTGCTGCAGCTGACGCTGCAGGTGCTGCCGCTGCGTTGCTGCTGCTGCTGCTGCTGCTGCTGCTGCTGCTGTTGCTGCAGCAGCGAGCCTGAAGCTCCTGCGGCTACTGCTGCTGCTTCTGCTGCTGCAGCAGCGGGCCTGCTGCTGCTCTCGCTGCTGTCGCTGCTGCTGCAGCTGCAGCAGAAGCTGTTGCTGCTGCTGCGAATTATTTCTTTTGCATGCCAGCAGCTTTTAATAAATTTAATTTTCATTTTTTGAATTAAAAGACTTATTCATTCAAAGCATTAAATAGTTAAATAAATAAAACAATTCAAACAAAAGTTCCTTTTTTAATTTTTAATTCTAGCTGTTCTTGCGGCGCTGCCCGTCTTTTTCTCTGCTGCTGCTGCTTCTTTGCTGCTGCTGCTTCTTTGCTGCTGCTGCTTCTCTGCTGCTGCTGCGTCTTTGCTGCTGCTGCTTCTCTGCTGCTGCTGCGTCTTTGCTGCTGCTGCTTCTTTGCTGCAGCTGTCTCTTTGCTGCAGCAGCTTTTTTGCTGCAGCTGCTTCTTTGCTGCTGCTGCTTCTTTGCTGCTGCTGCTTCTCTGCTGCTGCTGCTTCTCTGCTGCTGCTGCTTCTCTGCTGCTGCTTCTCTGCTGCTGCTGCTCCTTTGCTGCTGCTGCTTCTTTGCTGCTACTGCTTGTTTGTTGCTGCTGCTTCATTGCTGCTGCTGCTTCTTTGCTGTAGCTTTTGTTTTTGAATGAAAATAACTTTATTTAAAATTGAAAACTTTCAATTTAAAAAATCAAACTGAAAAATTTGAAATTTCCAAATTTGGAAGTCCACTGAAATCAAAATAGAAAGAGTTTCAAATTTTAATTTTAAAAAATAAAATAAAAAGAATTTTATTTTCCAGAAGTTCAAAATTAAAATAAATTAAAAAAGAAAAACTTTTAGCTCTTTTCCAGTTTTTCCAAGTTAATGGAGTTAACCGAATTTGCCAAAACTGTTTCAAAATTAAGACTTTTAACTTTTAATTTTTATTTTGTTTTTCAAATAATTAAATAAATAATTTCCAACTTATTTTTTTCTTTCAAATAATTCAATAAATAATTTCCAACTTTTACTTTTCTCTTAAAATAATTCAAAACTCTTCACAAGTATTTCCACTTGCAAAAATGCGTCCCCCAACTCTACGCATTTCTGTGCATTTGCTGCTGGAGTCTACGCTGCCCAAACCCTAAACCCTAAACCCTAAACCCTAAACCCTAAACCCTAAACCCTAGCCACTTCATATTTGCAGGGGAAAGCTTGGGGGGGCTCCCACAGCACCGTAGCTCAGTGGGAGAGTGGGGGGCTCATAACCCCCAGGTCCATGGATCGAAACCATGCGGTGCTACTTTTGATTATATTTTTTAAATTAAAAAATTAATTTTAATTTATTAATTCTACAAACAAATTAAAATGCTTTTACTGAGTTTAAACAGCTGAAGAACGCGCCGTCGCCGCGGATCCGGGCTTCCCGGGCACTTCAAAAGACTCTGGAAAACTTTTTTTTGAACTCCAATTAATGGAGAATAATATTAAAAAGCAATTATTATTACAATTTTAAATTAAAATATTCAAATCTGGCTTTTTTGGCCTCCGAAAATATCCTTTTTTGCCGCGAAATGTTCAAAATCTGTTCAAGTCAGTTGGCTATTTAGCTCAGGGTAAACTTGAATGGGCTGCTGCTGCTTCTCTGTTTCTTGCTTTTATCTGAACTGTTTTTATTTTTATTTATTTGAAATTCTTTTTTTGATTCTTTAAAGTGTTTTGCTGCAGGCTGGCGCATGCAAATGGCTCGAGAATGCCAGTGAATTAAATGAAGATAAATTGCAGTAAAAAGCAGCAACTTGAAATTAAAGTTTTTGCAATTCTACAGAAATTGCGGCTGTCTTCAAAGAAAAGTTCACTTTAAATGTTCTTATCCCACTTTAAAAACTTCCCCGCAAGTTTTATATCTCAAGAGTTGCTGCATTTGAAAGTATGAAGTCTTTTAAAGGCTGCCAACTTTTGTTGCTTTTACTTCATTTACTTTCATTCTTATTTTCTTCCACTGTTTTGTCTTTAAAAAAATATCTCTTTAATTTAATTCTTTTATTATCTTTGCTGCATCTTTTGCTTAAAGCCTTTTTAGCGAACTTCAACAGCAACACCATTTCCTTAACTTTTGGACTTGGGAAAAAAAAGGTACTTTTGCTTCGGAGTTTGACTCCGAAGCAAAAGTGCTTTTTTTTCCCAAGTCCTCAAAATGCAGAAAACATTATTAATAACTCGAAGGCCAGTTTTACCAAAAAAGTAAAACTTGGATAAAATCTTTTCAAACTTTCAAAAAAGCTTTTCTCTTGGGATACTTTTCCACTCCGTCAACCCCGAAAATCCACTTATGTTCTTAAACGTTAATGAAACATTTCGGACTTCTCCTTAAAACACAACTCAGCATAAAGAAAAGGACTTTTATTGCAAAAAGAACTTCTTTGAATTAAAACAAGAACTGAAGAGTGTGGCTTAACACCATTTGTTTAAATGAACTCTCATGGCCGTTTAGTCTAGTGGTATGATTCTCGCTTTGGGTGCGAGAGGTCCCGGGTTCAATTCCCGGAACGGCCCTTTTTGAAAACAGTTTTGTTGTTTGATTTAATTTGTTGTTTCAGCTTCATTACAAGTCTTTTGCTGTCCTTTCTTTTCAGTTGATTGGCGCAGCAAGCGCGCGAAAGCTTAAGTGCTGCTGAAGCTGCTGCTGCTGCTGCTGCTGCTGCTGCTGCTGCAGTCCTGGAAAGCCAGTAAATTATATCCGGGTGTGCCAGGGGCAGACCAGATGGCGCTTTTGCAGCATTTCTTGCTGCTAAAACAATTAGCACTTTCTTTATTTCAGCAGCACATCAAGAGCTGGTGGCTCTTGCTGCGGCTTGCTATATCTTGTGCTTTTCAAAATGCTTTTCTCTAAAGAAATCCGTTTTTCCGAGCATTTCTTGATCCAATTCAATCCTTCTTTGCTTTTTTTTCTTTGCTAGATTTTTGGAGCAGTTTGCTGCTGCGCAACATGCCGGTTTTTCCTTTCACTCCTAACTGCTGCATGTTTGCTGCTTGCTGCTTGTAGTTTGCTGCTATCAATTTGCTGCATCTGCAGCCCCCGAGGGAGTCTACTGAGAATTCACAAGAAGTAAAACAACACAATCTTCTAAAATTTAAATTAAATGCTTTTGCGAGAAAGCCTACGGGCTGGCTACGCTTAGCCAAATCAAATGAGAGCTGCGAATCTCCGACTTCGCTTTTTTTTCTGTGACTGCCGAGTGAAATGTCTCGCCAAAATGGAAATAAAAATCTTTCTTCTAGGCATTTTATAAGTAGTACAAATACTTCTGGGAGTGCCTTTTATGGGTGCTATATTTGGGACTTCTTAAACATTTCTATTGGGCTGGTCAAGTGCCCGAAACCCAAAGATAACCAACTAGAAGGCCAGTGCAGCGCGTAAATCTAAAAGCATAACTTTTCACATTTTGTAAACAACAGACAGGCATATTTTATCCTGAAGGAGGTTTATTCTTAGGAAAGAGCTACGAAATTAGCAAGTGCGTAGAAGGTAAACTTTAATAAAATGCCTTTTGTACAAGTTTGATTCATGGCCAGTAAGTCGAGCATTAAGGACCAAAATCCTACCCAAAATTGGTACCTTTCTTTCTGTCTTTCGTTGCTTGGGGCCAGCAGGCTCCATGGCCTAATATATCAGCTCCTTAGGAATTCAAAACCACCACCTTTTAAAGCAGAGCATGTTGGAAAGACAACTGTGGAGGCTGGCCTTTGAAGTCAGGCCACTCACATGAAGTCTTCGGCGAATTCCAATTGTCTTTTTATCAAAGCAGTCGAAGTTCTAATTCCCGTTTATTCCCCGTGTCTTCACTACGGACAAGGATCTTCTCCTTCACCTCAACTATTCTTTTCTTAACTCTTTGGTGCCTCGTGGCTTTCCCATTTTTATCTGGGCTTAAAGGACTTGTCCCTGAGTTATTGCCCCTGCAGTGCAGCTGCACTTTCTGAAGAATATTCTCCACTGATTCTCAATCTTATTTGAAGGCTGCGGGTTGGTGAAATGGACTTCAGAATTTTTCTTTCTACTGGCCCTTCGTCCTAACGGCCGCTACACTTACCTCAATTTTCAGCAATTAAAACTTCCTAAAAGGACATTTTCTGAAATATCGTTCCCGAAATTCAGCGACTGAAAGCCCTAAAATGGCATTCTTTCGGAAGATCGGCAACAAGATCCAGCGATTAAAACCCCTTAAAAGGACTTTTTCTGGACTATCGCAATCAAATTTCAACAATAGCCCTAAAAGGATTCTTCTGGAATACCATGGAGGTATTTGTTTACAGCGGCGAATGCGCTGCAGCCCAAATGTCCACAGCGCCCAGCTTTGCATGCAACGAGACCATCTGCAGACTCGTTTCAAGCCTGCCTTGTAGCTTTTTGGTTTAATTTGAGTTGAAAGGCCTTTTTAATTTTATTTTTCTCCGCATTTCAAAGCCATTTCACCTGCCGTAGGCTGCCGGCGTCGCGGCCTTGAGGGCCGGCAACTTCCCCCTCGTGGACAATTCCAAACAGCCCGCCTGTGCAGCACAAAAGCAGCAACTTGTAGTTTTTTTTGCGATAGTTCAAATAGCCCCTTTCGGCGTGGCTTGCACCCGCATGCTGTGCTGCTTTTGAACTTTTTCATTTCCCCAGCCTCTCTTCGGGGCCCCGTCACCCCGGAAGTAGCTGGCAGTATCCAAGCTGCGCGGCCAAGCTTCGGCTTTGCAGCAGGCTCGTTGCTGCAGCAGTAATTTCAGCAGTACCTCCTGCAGCAGAAGCTGCAACAGCAGCTCCAGGAGCAGCAGCAGCTGCTGCTGCTATTCCCGCGGGGGCTTGAATCACCCAGCAGCTTGATGCCTCCACAGCCGCGTCAGAAGCTATCACGGCTATGCCAGTCTTTTTATCGGGAATGCCACAAGTAGCTCCCTGTGGCTTTCTGCAGCCTTTGAGCAGCGCAGCAAAGGGGAGTTTCCCGGCAGCTGCTGCTGCGGGAGCAGCAGCTGATGAGCTAGGGTTTAGGGTTTCCGCATGACAAGAAGCTCGGTGGCACAAACACACCAACTAGCTGCTGCTGCTGCACAAATGTGAAAAATGCTGAGACCTTTTGTGTCTCAAGCCTGCTCGAACCAGCCTGCTGTTGTCCAGTTCAATTCAATTTAATTCAACACTTTCTCAAAAAAAACGGCGAAAGGACCCTGCAAAGAAAGCACCGAACTTAATTCAGTACTTTCTTCAAAAACCAGACAAAAAGATCCAATGACTTGGGACAAAATAATCCTTAAACAAATATAAAAAAATATTTAAATGGCAAAGTCACTTTGGAGCGAATGCCCACAGACGGAGCCCCGAGGCATCTGCTGCCCCCTGTGTGAGGCGGAGCTTAAAAGTCTTTTGTTTGGCTTTTTGAAAAGCCAGAAAATTTTATTTTTCCTGATTTCTGTTTTGCCCTTTTAAACTCTTTTTATTCTTCTAGAGCTGGATTAAAAGCACCGCTCAAAATAACCAGCTTCAGGAACTGCAGCAAGAGCCAGCTCGGCCAAGTAGCCGCGCCTGCAGCAGCTGCCTTCAGCCAATTTGCTTCCGCAGCTGCTGCAGCTGCTGCAGCTGCTGCAGCTACTGCAGCTGCTGCAGCTGCTGCTCTCTGCTGCTCAGCTTCGCAGCTTGCTAAAAGAAGCTTTGCAGCTGCTTCTCCACCGCAGCAGGCCCCAGCCAGCCTCTGTGGGCAGAATGCATGCAAGAGTTTTCCTGTTAATGTTTAAATTCAAGGGTTTAGGGTTATGACGCGGTGGGTTTGTTTATCCCCGACAAGAAACCCTGTCAACGCCTAGGGTTTAGGGTTTAGGGTTTAGGGTTACGGCGCGGTGGCTTTGTTTCTCCGCGGCAACAGATGCTCTAACAACGCCTGGGGTTTAGGGTTTAGGGTTATGACCCCACGGGTTTGATTCTCCCCGACAAGAACTATCCCGTCAACGGTTAGGGTTTAGGGTTTAGGGTTTGCTGTTTTGTTTTCGGAAGTCTAGAGTTTTATTTTTTGGCACTTAAAGTCCAAGTTTCTGTCACTTTTAGGCAAAGTAAAAAGGCGCCTCTTTGGCTTATTTGCTTCTTCCTTTGGGGCTCCGAAGCAGCAGCAAAGCCAAACTCTGAGAGTTGCTGCCCAGAGAATGCCCTCAGCAGCAGCAGCAGCTGCTGCTGCTGCTGCTGCTGCTGCGCTGCGCTGCTGCTCGCGGGGGCTTTTTTTGGAGGACTTTCAGAGCTTTTTGGAATAAAAAAGAACGCTTTTGGTCTCGCTAGGAAGCCCTGGCCGCCAGCTTTGCTGCCTCGTGGAATATTTCGCTTAAAGAGCAGCAGCAGCAAAAGAAAAAGGCCAATATCAGCACAAGTCCCAAGTGCAGCAGGAACTAACAAGCAAGCCAGCAACTCTCCGGGGGCCCCGGGGCACCCTATTTGCTGCCAGCTGGCAGCAGCAGCAGCAGCAGCAGCAGCAGCAGCAGCAGCAGAAGCAGCAGAGGAAAGGGTTTAGGCGAGTGCAGCAAAGGCTTGGCAGCAGCAGATTTGTGTCAGCAGCAAACTGGAAGCAAAACGCTGCTGCTGGGGGTTGGCTCTTAACTATGGGCGGCGCTGCATGCGGCGTCTGCGCGGGGGAGGCCCTGGGGCATTTTTGGGGAGAAAAAAAAGAATTAAATGAATTATTTTGTTAAAATATCTTCTTTTGGGGCTTTATAGCGAGAAAATTTGGAGAAAAAGGCCTCGCTTCGTTCTGCTGCAGCAGCAGCCAGCGTTGTCTGCATGCGAGGCCTCGGCATGGGGCTGCTGCTGCTGCTGCTGCTGCTGCAGCAAACAGAATCCCTTTCTGCTGGAATATAATACGCTTTTCTGCAGCTCCCCCTCTTTTGGCGGCCACAGTCCGGCCCTAACTCTCCCACCTTATCCTCTGCATGCAGCATCTGCAGCAGCAGCAGCAGCAGGAGAGGCGACTGCAGCAGCAGCAAAGACCCTGAACAGCAGCTGCAGCAAAAATACCTTCAGCAAAGGCCTAGGAAGCCCCACACTGATTGCCGCTGCGGGCGTCTGCTCCCATTGCCCAGCGAAACAGCAGCGGCAGCAACAACAACAGCAGCAGCAGCAACAACACCAGCAGCAGCCGCTGCAGCAGCAGCAGCAGCAGCAGCAGCAAGGAGGGCCTCAAATGCGGCTTTCCTAGGCTTCATAATGAGTGGTTGCCGGCCCGGCAAACCCTTACATTAGATTGGCCTCTAGAAGCAGCAGCAACAGCTACTTGTGCTGCGGCAGCAGACGCAGAGCCCGCCGCTGCAGCAGCAGCTGCAGCAGCAGCAGCAGCAGCCGCAGCAGCAGCAGCAGCAACATGATGAAAGACGACGCCAGAGACCTCGATCTGCTGCACTCCAAGGTGCGCAGTCTGCGGGATAAGCTGCAGGCCCGCGCTGCGCGCACCACGCCCAGCAGCAGCAGCAG